GGTTTTTGCAAATCAGTTAGCTAGTTTGCCCCACCTGTGAAACAAGTATAAATGACAGGGGTGTCTATGGACAAAAAAAAAATTATGAATAATTCAGTATACAATGTATTTTTTGGTCTATATACACTTCTAGTTATTAAAGCAGATATGCCTTTACATATATCTATATACAAGTATGCTATTAATACAGATGAATGTTCTATTATATACAGTAAAACCTGTCAAAACCGACCCCTGGATAAACCGACCTACTGTCAGAACCGACCAATTTATGTAGCCCCGAAATTTCTCCATAGACGCCTATGTTAAAATAACCTGTGAAATGCGACCACTGTCTACTCCGAACACCGACCGCATTGATCGGTCCCAGGTCCAATATTCACACTGAATACATCGACCATCCGACCAGTTGCATCACATCCGATGTCTAGTAATCCGGTCTGCCCGACCTGAAAAGTGTGCATTGTGTTCAATTTACCGTGAACGTCACAGAAACAATATCAAATCTCACACTACAAGTAACGTCCAGAGTAAAACAATGGCAACTGGTTACGTTTTTCACATCACACGCCCACGCATCGCGTGGTGTCTGGACAGTATAATGACCCCGGATATAAACAAATGATCAGGGTCATTACTTTCAGTTACGGTAAAACGTACTACATCACCTTTTCAACGAGCGAAAGACATTGAGTTTTCTTCTTTTCATAACGATTCTGATCGATAATATTGTGCTTTCGAATGTTTTCGTGAAGGGGGCTTCAAGATTGAAATTGATGATGACGAAGAAGCAGACGACAACAAAGAAATCGGAAACCTTAATTAGAAAGTTGCAGACCCTCAAAAACAGTGTAGCGACGTATGACGGCGAGAGAGAGCAACATATTGTTGGGAATTTTATTGCAGACAAAGAAAGGAATCTACCAACAACGATGACATAAATTGCAACGACAGTCAAATTATCGACAGTGATTTGACGCATGGTGATGTGCTGGCCTGGGTGTGCTAGACATGTTGACGAGATTACAGAACTTCGCAATGAACAAAGACTCCAGTTACTTGACAGATATCCAAGATCTCAAAATTCGAACGGAAAACAAAATTGTTGAAAAAAGATATTCTTTAAAGCAGTCAAAACTTGATGATTTTTTTACATCGTAATTTAATTCATTGACTTAACAGCAAAATCAACTGTCTACATAAATTATGATAATTACATGTAGCTCACGTGAACTTGCGTTGTGATGTCATTCAAAATGGATGCCTCCAGTTACGATACGTGATACTTACCCGGTCTGTTCGAACAGTTATTTTAATATTTTTTGATTTTATGTACATATCATAATATTCTTTTCTTGTTTGGTAAATTATTTTATTGAAACAATACAATAAATGTAAATATAATCACCGGAGGCAAACTCCGGTGTCTTTCATTTGTCCCGTGTTTACAGCACATGTAATTGTTGTTTCAATGGAATTGAGTTACGCCAACCCTGAATAAACCGACTCCCTCTGAAAACCGACCATAGATCCCAGTCCCAGTCATGGTCGGTTTTGACAGGTTTTACTGTAATTCAATATACATGTATAAAATATAATTCAATCAATATATAATAAAATGACTAACTTTTTATTTGCAATCATATCCATAGCTTGGTACACCAAGGAATA